TAGCTAAAATGCAGCAGTCGAAACCGGCGCACAAAAGTACACAACGAATGGTTGTACGAACTGAAAAGAACCAAACCACCAAACGCACCAATTTTCCCCTACCACGTTTAGATGACAATCGGGGTCTACAAACATTCTCCCTGTACGCCCATCGAAGAAGCCAGACACTAGAACGATTTGGTGGATCGTAAGTTCAACTGCTTCACACCTGACAGAAACAGACACCACCGTGGAAATGATCGAATCGTCCCCAGTCCCGAGTTCGGATTGCCATTCGGATCAAAATGGCTCTTACGTGTTTAGGCACAGTTGAAACGATGCAAATCGGCCTATATGACCTGTTTGTCTTTCCATGCTCAAAACGATTTTGTGCACGTGTTTGAACCTTCTGTGATCCACATCTCCAGGCCACAAGGAGACACAACAATCTGATGAATGCAAGTTGATTTGTTTTCGTTCCATCCAGATACACCTCACCCAGTGTAATCGGTGCCACGGTTGTAACCCGTCCTCAACACCATTATTTTCTTGCTGGCATGATTGTTAACTGCTTTGCCCTGTAACCCGATTGACTCTAGACAGAATGTGGTAACGGTAGAACTCAAAACAGAAGAACAACCGAGAGTAAAAATAACTAATTTGAAACAAAGTCTGAAATCGCTCAGTTGCACTACCAAGTAGCCCCAAATATCTAATACCGATAGCACCATCGGAACATGATAAACAAAGGGTATTGGTGTACGAGTATACTCACAGTTTTGAAGTATTTTGACGGTCTTCTCTGTTCGCTATCTTCTCATGTCCACTGCTTGCATCTTCCTTTGATCGTTGCCAGATCTTGCAAGTGCGTGGAGATATTGGGACCACAGGAGGCTGGGCTGCTGGCATAAGTCCCAGAGCTGTTGTCGTACTCGTCCCGGTGGAGTGTTTCTCCAGGGGTACCGGTTTCTCCGAATGAAAGAAGCATCCATCTCCCAATTCAATGATTGGGAATTTTCTCTGGCAGCGAGTACAGTTCTGTTACATGCAAAATAATAGTTCAGGAGATACGTTGGGAATGTAGATGTATAGAATAAACCTATAAATCCATAAATAATCACTATAAATAACGAAAATTCCAAAACATTGGCACGTATTTCGAAGACTTGCATGTCAATAATTTTTTGATTTACTAACCACACTACTGAAACCTTGACCAATAGCCATTTATTGGTGTGTAAAAATTGTAATTCAACAATGGGTTGGAAACCATGAGATGGAAACCTTGAGATGGGCCATCGACCAGTTAACAATAGTTTCTTGGAAACTACAACCACTCGGTGGTTGTCAAGCGGTAAATATCACCTAATTATCGCTCTGGAGGACGTGATCATTCACTATATGACAATTAGTTTGTCTCACGTCAATGAACTGGCGTATTTACATAGGCCGGTAGTAACATATCATTTATTCATTACCTGTGCGGTGATCAAACAGAATGCACGATCTTTTAAGCAGTCCGTGAAATTAATGCACTGCCTCGACCACCTGATTCTGAATCTCAAACTCAACAGAACTTAGTTCTCTTTCTTATATCAAGATTGTTAAAAGTTCAGTGGCCACGGTGGGATCCGAACCCACGCATGGACGCCGCCTACACTTTCGTACAGCGCACGCTCTACCAGCTGAGCTACGAGGCCACAGAGATAGCACTAAGCAATGAACCTTGCCTTAGAAGTTCATTCGGTGGACTCCAATGAACTTTAAGGAAAACCTGTCGGGCAGTCAGCTTACATGCTAGCTGGTGGATGCTATATGCCTCTGTAAGTTGGATGAGTAACTCAAATGTGAAAAGCTCAGCTGGTAGAGAGTGAGCTGTACAAAAAAGTAGGCGGCATCCATGCATGGGACCGAATCCACTGAAGCTACTGAACTTTCACAATCTGTACATAAAAATATTCAAATCTGCCAAACAACAATATGAGGAACTAACTTCATTGTCTCACCTGATGCATATAATTAAACGATTGATAATTGTGGGTGAACAATCTGTTTCCGGTGATTTATTCACTAACCTCTTACAGATATTTCCCTTGAAACATAAACAACTGGTTTATCCGTAAGACCAAACACTGTGTACCAATTCGTGTCCGACTATGGGGGCAGGTTATTGTCAATTTTGTACTGAACCCTATGGTCCGGGTGTTGAACTAATTGACCATCCACTACTATCTCACATCATTCATCTGTTGATGATGATGACTAATAAAGTTGACTAGTAAACTCTGGGCGCCTGGATCAGTTTCTGCTTTGCATACAAACTTAATTTTACCATGTAGTTTGTGATGAAAGTTGCAGTGGTTGTGTCATAAGCATGAAATCTTGGGGGAATTTATAACAATAGAATAATGTATTTGAATGTAAATTAAATGAGTAACGCAAGTGATGGGTACAACAGCCGGTCAAACAGAAAAAAAATACTATTAGGTAGTAAACGAGATCTATTTGTCAGACAAATCGCTGTTACAACGGGGAAAATCCAATAATGCGAAACCTTCTTTAATGCCCATATTGTTGAGCCATAATGCCTTTGGGGCTGTACGATGGTAATCTCTTACACTAACAAATTGCCTATATGCAAGTGATCTCTATTCTATTGAGCCGGAATATGATCAAATTTGACTTCAGGTGAAGATGAGTCACGTTTGTAGGTATTGCCAGGTTTAAGACCGGACTAGTTCCAAACTGTTAATGACACAATAATCTTTAAACAGTGAGAATTGGAGCTAAACCAAGCATGCAATTTATTGGGGTTTCACAACTGGAACTTCCAGCTTAAACAATCCTGATTAAAAATACAACGAATGGGTACGCAACCACCGCATTTCATTGGAGTATGTATTCTGGTCAGACAGCTGGTGGCAAATTTAGAGTACCTAGCACATTCTATCACTGAATCGAACTGATGGCTTTTGAAGAAGCAAACCCTCCTGGATCTAGCACGCCGTCTTGTAATGGGGCTTTTCGGATTACACCAGATGAGTCGTTGGATTTTAAACCTCGCTAAATCTCATTATGTTGACTTTTCGACCCACTTTCTGTATGTGTCAATATTGTTCACTTTATTTTTCATCCTAAATCAAGGTTAATGAAAAAATCTATTTCCAATAATAAAATACAAATCGTTTAACATACCTGCATATTTATGGTAGCCCATAATTTCCAAAATACCAAACGCCAGTTGCCCAACTCTCGAAACCAACGAGTTAATAGGTCAGTAGCTGAGAACGTGCTTGACTTTTCCACTAAAACTATACAGAACTAATTAAAAAGTACACAACATACCGGCAGGAGAATGCATTGTACTATTGGTGTTGGATGTGGACGGTATACGACTTGGTAAAGAAGTGGACATACTAGATGGAGTTCGTGGATTTGTGATCGATCTGTGCGGGTAGATTTCATCTTGCTGAATTGGATCGAAATAACCGGATCCGTGACAGGAGGAGGAGCGTCGGACAATTGGTCCAATATGCGTCACCAATTCCGGGGATGTCATGGTAGGTTGATGCACGGGTATTATCTGTCCCGAACGGCTAATTACCCGACGCCATGGAAGGCATGGAGCATGAATGGCCGTGTTCTGAGTGAGAATANTGAGAATACGCTCACAAACTGCACACCTAGGTGATAAAGATTGTCACGAGAGAGCCACTTTACATGTACTGATATAAAGGAACTGTGAGGAATACCTCTAGACGAAACTTTAGTAGTCTACAAGTTGCTTGCTTTTAAAGAACACAGGAAAGGATCCTTAGTGCTTAAAGACATCATGTGATTCTTACCATCCAGTGACCATCCAGTAAGGTAAAATAGCAATTCGTTAAGGAGTTAAGTTTTCAGTTGAACACCCTATCCCTCGTCACTGAGGAATGAGCCTCCAAAGAGGACCAAAGGTTAGCAGTTACAGACAGTTATACAAGATTACTCCCATCACATTTCAAAGAAACATCAGATCCCAAGTACGAAGACGGGAAAAGCCGAGAAGAAATCACTCATAAGCCTCACTTGTTATCGTGATTGTTGTACGAAATCATATATATAAGTATATATATATATATATATACGGTGAGCGGACAATTCAAACCCAACGGTAATTCGTCAAAAAAAGCACAGGCTGTTTTGTCTATCCCAGATATCCTACAGGGGATAAAAAACGACAAATGGTGTCACAAAATCGTGCTGTCTTGAACAAACAGACAGCACTACCATGATTTGGAGCTTGTGGCTTTTTTCAATCAGTAAAATTGAAAATGACAAACTATTGTATCGTGTAGGTGAAATGTGCGTAGAAAGACTTAGAGAAAACACGTGGAGTAATTTGTGGTTTAAAAATGAGTGCCCCGGGGGAGTGAACAAAAAGAGCACATACAAACTAGTCTTTTAAACCGTTACATAACAATAGGAAGTCGATTTTTATTTTAAATTGTAACATTATGAGGCCTCTCATGAAAGATTGCTAAACCATCTAAAATTGAATGAGAAGGGGAAACCAGCAACAAGCTTGTGCAATAAAAGGTCAACAAATGTCACTCTAGGTCCATGATTAGTTCACTTTACTCATCATGCTTCAATCTTTTGACTTCGTCTGTTTTATAAATGACTGAACAATCAGTATTGCCAAAGGGGTCACTGACAACCATAGGGTAGTCAAGCGATGTGAAAACTCAAGCAATTGCGGTAAGGTACAATTACACAATAATCAAGCTTATGCGATGACCCCATATGCAGATAATCTCCACCGCTCCCACATTCGATCCTCACAGTTAAAGTTTTATTATGTGAATTGCCTACAACCTCATGCTTCTCTTGTCCCCCTGGAATATTTACGCAAACTGAATCCTTTATCAGTAAAAGTGGTACATACCACAGAGTTCCAGGTAAGAGATAACACAATGTAGTCTTCAACGAATGTGCATTGTAAATTGTGTAGGAATGCGAGATGTCCTAGGATCTCCTAAATTCTCTGCTTGAACGATTCAACGGTTAGCGTACAAACGACATGCGATGAAAGAGCGTTCAAAGTGATGCACACTCGGACTGCAAAAGATTGACAATAGTGCCGATATCATCGCTAACCGACTTTAATTTCGCCAGACTCAATCTGTTCCCGATCCCACTGAAGTGCAAGCGATTGTACGCTCCAAGTCTCAACGTCCAAACATTTAGATCTCACCACTGAACCACAGATATTTGTTCAGTTCAGTTCACTTTGTACAGTCATTAACCATGCACTGTTGTGCACCAGTTTTGGTTGCTGTCTTTAGCTGAACATTTCAATCAACAGTAGAAGAAAGACGGGAAAGTTGAAAGTAGAGTCGAACAAAAAATAAAGAATTTCAGCGATCTAAGGTTGCAACAGAACTGAGAAGATGCACGCGAGCCACTGTTTGAGACAGCCATATCACTCAGTGTCCCTAACCATCGGTTAAGATCACCCCGAACTCCCCATCTAGGGAGCCTAATGGAACCTATGTGACCTAGTCTCCTGGTTAGGATTTTCATACCTTCGTGCCAAGTCTTAGGTTTAACGTCTTTAGCTTTATTCCACCCACTACCTGCCTCGGGAAACATCGCTCGCCGTGGCAACCCATTTGGTGACATGAGTAACGCATGTCCCAAACAACGTAATCTATGGAGATCGACCACTTGCTCGAGTGCACGTCCGTGGTTACCTAAAACTCTACGCCTAACCTCAGCATTGCTATTCCGGCTGCCCCACCAGATTCGTGCAATGCTGCGTAGACAGTGGTGTTCAAACACCGACAGTCTATCTTTATCCTGTTTTCTCAATGACCAAGTCCCAAGTCAGCAAATGCCAACCGAACCTTCTGTATGCGAGCTGACACTTCATCCGTGATACGCCCACCGGGTGAGATGTAGCTGCCCAAACAGCAAAACTTATGCACTTGGTATATTGCTTCCCCAGTTAGAGTGAGGCTGGGTGCTGAACCAACCCAGTCTTGTGGTAACATTTTACACTTTCGAAGGTGCAAAACGCATACCGAACATGGTCACACGAGCACTCGAGCTATTCATAACAGCTTGCAACTTCCCTGCATATTCGCTTAGCAGCACAATGTCATCTGCATACTCCAACTCAGACAGTTTTACACCTGCAATTAAATCGATGCCGCTATTCTCGCACGAGGATAGGGCTGTTTCCATGATCGAATCCATAACAAAGTTGAATAGAAAAGGAGAGATAAGGCGACCCTGACGAACATCACTTTCCGTGGTGAACTCGGGCGAAAAAGTGCCGTAAGCCCGAACTCGACTCTGGCTATTAGCATGAAGGGCTTGTAATATTGAAATTAACTTCTTTGGCACACCTTTCAGAGAAAGGCAGCGCCAGAGTTTAAAGCGGTCGAGTGAATCGAAAGCCGCTTTACGATCAAGATAAACAGTTCTTTGTGGCTTGCACTTTATGAGGTTCGGCAGAGAAACGCTCACAGGTCCGCTAGGAAACTAAAAGCAGTAACTGTGTGCAGTAACGATTGTTTCTATTGGCTGAAACGGGTTTTTGAAAGCATGTATTAATAGGCCTATTTTTTACAATAGATCAGGTGAGATCAAAGAATGTCGTTTAGCACCCATCATCAACTGAAACAAGTGGCTTTGCATGCAGCAGCACAAACAACTACTGAAAACATCGTTTCCACATTGCGAAAGAAAAACGTTTACAAACTGTTTACAAAAGGGGAATACATGAATGACAATGCCTGTCAATCGGTCAACTCACTGAAACAAACGCGATGCATTTTCCGGGCATTCTGATGTACTGTAGTTCGGATCAAATAGTTTTTCAATCTTTCGAAAAAATAGTTTACTGATACAACGGGATACGATCATTTTTTGGGGGGAAATCACTTTTTAATACCTTTTGATTTTATCCTTTCTGTCCTTGATCTTTTCCAGTTCTGCAACACTCAAATGATCTACAATACTGTATGATTTTGTTTTCCGGTATCCGTTTACTTCCAACTACTCAGAACTCACCGTCGAATGAGATTTTCATTCAAACAACCAAGTGCACAAGGACTAGCAATGATCGCATTCAAATGCTCACAGAAGTAGACCAAACATTTTTGGGACTAAATGAGGTCATCTCAAAGATGACTATGGATGCATAAACTCGCACACCTACCAATCCATCCATTTTGAGAAAATCCGAGGAGATGAGCAGAGCCAACACATTGGACACGGACAACCAACAGTCTTGATAGTTTTTCGGCTCGGAACGCCGTTTCACGTAGCGCATTAACCAATCGAACACTTTGATATCACAGTGAACAAGGATTTCCACTTCTTGAACAAACTGACCCTCTTTGATCAAATAGTCTTTGAAGTATCCCATTTCTTGCACCAAAAGCTCACGATCACAGGTAAAGTCACACTGGGCTGAAAGTGAACGGGTATGACAGGGTTCATGGCCCTTACCTCCTTTCGCTTCGTCTTGCACATGTACCGTGACTACATTCGACGGTGTTACCTTCATTTCGTTTTCCACCGAAGGTGCTGACATGATTACAAGTCGGTGTTCGAGGGGTAATAAATCCGAATTCGTCGTTTGCTGAAACCTACATTACCAGATATTGGGGTTAAATTTCAGCCCATTGAGAACGCAATGAGAAAAAATCAAAATGAGGATGATGATTTATGATTGTTATTTTTTTTATTAAGCATCTTTACAAAGAAACCGTACCGGGTGCTTGAAATCCAGGCTTCATAAAGAACTGATAAATATGAAAGCTATTTAGGAGAATGAAACATCAATCGTACATGTGTAATACATGCATACGTCTTCCTGTGGTCTAGCTCGCTCACCAGAACGGAATCACTCAACACTGTATTACACATGAATTGCACAGTGCTTCCTACCGAGGGAAAATTGCCGCTGGAGTGTTCGAAACGTGAATCAGTACTGTCGTCAACAACATGAAGAATGTCTNCCCCCCCCCCCCCCTGGTCAACCCGATGATTAGCCGAAAAGCAGCAACCACAACCGTCGTAAGGCGGGCGATGTTTGCCGAGGCACGTAGTGGGTGGAATAAAGCCTAGGATGGTCAAACCAAGAACTGGCATAAGGGTATGAAAACTCTAACCAAGGGTTTGGGTCATATAGGTCCCGTTAGGCTTCTTGGATGGCTACCTTGGGATAATCTTAACCGATGGTTAGAAACATTGATATGACTGAGTGTCGTAAACAATGATCTTCGTGCATCTTCTCAATTTCCCTGCAACATTAGCCCACTGAAATTCTCAATTTTATCTTCGGTTCTACTTTCAACCTTCTTGGCTTTCTCCTACTGTTCATCGAAATGAGCGGGCAAAAGACAGCAACCAAAACCTGCGCACGAAGCTGCATGGATAATGGTTGAACAAACTGAACTGAACTTCTTTTTCTCTCTTTAATTTTACTTTCTTTTATTGAATACACAACGATACGGTGTTTAGGAAGGGGAAGCGGCCAATCAACGGGCTGCCATGGGGAAAGTCAGGCGGAGGTAGTGGGGTTCGAACACACATCCCACGAGAAGTTAATTTGGTGACCTTAGCACCAGGCCACCACTGCCCCTGAACTGAAATGAACTGAAATGAAATGAACAACCATCGCATATCCGTGGAACATTATTGCTTTTTTGAAAAATATATCAAGTGGAAATGCAGAAAACTGTAGTCCTTGATCGATTCGTGATTAGCATCTATGAAATGGCAGCTGAATAGGTTTTTGCCCATATTTTGCAAACACTTCTTTGGCTTTCGTACCACATCTCTCTCATCATTCTCTACTGTTTTTTATTTGATTTATACGGCACTTTAAACTGGATACCAGTGTGTGCCGGGGACACTTCAATTGATAGCTTGTTCCAGAGATTGACCAGCTTATAGGATAAATTCACTCTTTCTATATTATTTTTTCGAGGTTTCAACATTTTGAACTGCTAACCCCCTTCTGCTTGGTTTGCTCTGAGGGAGAGGGGTTACAAATATGCCTGTGATAAGCTCTCTAGAACCCTGAATACCTCAGTCGGGTCGCCCATCTAGAGAAGCAACTGTCTCTCTCAGAGGTTTCGAGCAGTTGAATTCCCTATGGAAGACACTGTCGGCGTTGGGCATAGTTCTTCACCAAGCTTTGTGGCTCATCCACACATTGTTCTGTATTGAACGCCTCATTGAATGTGGGATGCCACCGCCAGCTCACAGTGCCATTCGCACTGTTAAATTACACAAATTTGTCGATGAATTAATCATACTCAAGTTTTAACTACAATACAAATTCAAAGAAGCCCATGATGTGGCTAGATATCTCCTCCGCAATATTGACGTTTATCCAACAGATGCTACTGTTCCTTTGAGTCGTCATGGGAGGCGTAAACCGTAGGACTTTATAATTTGTATATATAGATATGTATATATATTTAACACCGGTTTGTAGACAAGCATGGTGTCAACGCCACAACAATAATGACAAAAACAAAAACAGGGGGCAGGTGGATTGCGATACAGAACCAAGTGGAAAGATTGAGAAACAGTTAAACACGAGGAAATGGTAGATAGCTGGGATAAAAATATTTTGTTGTATGTTTCACCGTACACTTTTGGATATTTTTTGTGTTGTTCATTGTTTTTAATAATAATGATAACTGCTTGATGAAACCCATCGCATATTTTGCTAGCTGCATTTCTCAAAACATTACGACCACTAGTTAGGAGGCTTATTTTAATGAAGGGCTGTCTTCACAAACCATTGGAGCACATGTGGCCGTTCTAGGAATTTAGTTGCAACGCAATGGTTTCGCCCATCTTTGGGTCTTGTACAACACCAGTTCAAGTGAAATCTAAATACCGAGTACCGTAAGAACCGGTAGGTCTATACAAAGCATTTTACTCTTTAGATCACAAAATCAGAACGTTTCTAAGGAGAACTTGATTATGTAAGTGAATGAAACAGTTAAAGAAACTTATTCACTTCCAAACCGACCAGAAAAATCAGACAAGGGCGTTTTCCTAGGTGACAAAACATACCCTATGGTCAACTGTTACCTTTGGAGAACACTCGATTGGTTAACATCTATAAGGACACTTCCACCTTCGGAAAGGAACCCGTTTTAAGTGAATTATTGACAGGTCGTAGATCGACTCTAGTAAACAGATGTGCTAAATAACTTAGCGGAAAACATACGAACCATGTCTCAACATCTAAATTGGCTGTTCCAGGAGACCAAAGACCCAAAAGCAGGTCAAGCTACTGCAATTTTTATTTTCATGATCCGAGAAAAAACAATTCTTTGGTCTTAACAATGAAGTGTTCAAAGGGGACTGTACCTAGGCTTAAACTGTAGAGAAGGGAAGAAACCATTTGGAACAAAATCAAAAATATCTTGAAAGTCAGTCCAGAAGTTATCCTTTATCTTGTCAGGTGAGGTAATTGGGAAGCCTTCTGGAGGCTTCAGGGTTAGAGTAAAGAAACTGGGGTGCCTATTGTGAAGAAGTTTGAAGATGCATGAGGAATTTCTTCTTGCCCTAGAGGGATTCCCTGCCAACACCAAGTATACAAGTTTACTCAGTACCGTTATAGCGATATCATGCTACAAAATGACTACCAATGTAGCATTTTGATTTTTGACGCTTGAATCTTATTTATTATTCACAAATACTCCTTGAAATGTATAATTTTCTTACATTATTAATTTACCGTCGTTAATAAGCCTTCGGGCAAAAGCAGAGAAGTAATGTGTAAAGTTCGATAAATTGCAAGGTTAGGTAGCGATATCTTACGTAAACGATGACAGAGCTAAGTCGTTTTTGGAGCGCTTTAGTAGTCGATTTGAAACACTTTGGCTCAAAAGGACACGGAAATCTGTGAATTTATAGCGATCTGGACAACTATTTTGTAGCTTATTGCTTATCAGTATACTACGGCTATGACGAATAACTGTATATTTTTGGAATAAATATATAAGTTTACCATTACATTATTTTTTATTTATGCAAAGGGACATTTTTGGTTACATCTATATCGCGGTCGTTGCATTAACAATAGAAATCGAATTTGCGCAACGCGTGACTACGGTAGCATTCGAGATCTATCTCCTGAGGGGTAGTAGTCGTTCTAGAATTGGTATTCGACGGATGCATTTATCCACCCGGAAATTCCTTTATATTCCGACTCCAGCTATTGCTCGGGGGTTTAGTCAGTCAGTTAGTCAGTCAAAGTAAGCTTTATGCACCCAGAGGGTGAATTTTCAGCATTTTTTCACGATAATACAGTGGATTTGGTGGGATGGCATCAGACTGTGAATAGGTTAATTCAAAAAAGCGACAGCAAACTACATGCAGATAAAAAATGAATAAATAAACTAACTCATGAGGTGTTCAAACGAACCTGTAATAATTGGTGCCCGATTTACTAAAAAGCGAGCAAGAAAAGGGTCAATGCTATTTCCGTATGTGGCGGCGTGTGCGGGAAGAAGCCCATACTGGGAGCGGGTACGGGGTTAATAAGTTCGTCATGCAAGCAGTGATCTTTGTTGTTCAAGATTCTGTCGGTTTTTCTTTCACAGGTGTCGATAGGTTTGCACACAGTACAATCAATCGGAAAATCTCTAGTTATGCCACCACATCGGGACAGGAGTTTTAGAGACCTGAAAATTAATACAGAATCTTTTTCTTTTAGGCCGGGAAAGAATACAAAGGAACAGGACAGTTAATGAGCAAGGATGAATGCTAACACAAATCTGAAAATTGCGTTTGGAAGAACAGCAAGCTTTCTAAGCCTAACAGCATAAAAATAGTTCACAAACCTTGTTGTAAACGTTTTCTACGTGTAAGGTCCAAGAGATATTGTGGGACACAGCGAATTTGAGGTAATCAACAGAGTCAGCTTTAGGAATGCTGTGACTGTTAACTACTAGATCCGGTCAGTTATTAAAGGTAGTTTGACAGCGGGAGTCAGATTTAATGCTGAAGTGAACATCAACACATTTGGAAACATTAAGCAAGAGTGATCGGTCTAGAGACCAACTAAAAATGTCATTCAGACTTCTTTAAAGTTGATGAAAAGAGGCGTCAGTATTAGAGGGGCGCCCAATCACCACATTGTAAGCAGGCAGTAAAGTTAGTAGGGACAGACAGGTGGTTTATGTACCGAGGAAAAATAAGGGAGAAAAAGTGGCGCCCTGGAAGACACCAGAGTTAAAGTAAGAAGAAAACGTTTCACCATTGCGTGAGGTAAATTGCGTCCTAAAAGATAGGTAGTTTAAAATAACGTTTACCACGTCCGATCTTAAGCCGCAGTCATCATGACATTGAATTAGAATGCGACGGTCAAGCGAACAAGGGCGTTGGAGTAGTCAAGAAAAATAAGGCGAATAGCTTCAGCACTCTTATCTAAAACTGAGGCCACAGAATGGAAAACATATGTGACAGCATCAGCAGTCGGAAGGGATTTCTTATAAACAAACTGAAGAGGATGAAAAACATTAGAGAGGGTAATCGAGCGGTTAAACAACACTCTTTTAA